AAAAACAATGTTATTAGATACAGATGGATACTTATTAAAAACAATTAGAAAATATATAACTGTGTATTATATAATGTAAATTATAAAAAAAAATTTTTTTAAGTGTTATTCATACATTGAAAACCGATATTTTCTACTAAAAAACCGGTTTTCGAATTTCATAATTTTCTCCCAAAAACCGGTTTTTAAAAACCGACAAACCCTACTTGAGATAAATTGAAGCGGGGCTTCACGACTGCTTTTAAATAAATTGTAACGTTGAACTAACTCATTTGCTCGTTCACAGTAGATTCGTTCTACCTCACCTTGCCTTGAATGTGTTCCTCCTCAAATGTATGATACACACTTTTATATGAACAACCGACAGTAGATGAATAAAGTAAGTACTAGTCAATATACGTACCGATTACATCTTAGATTTGTTGATTAATTTTGACAACCAGGTCGAAATTTTCATATTAGAGAACGCACACACCTAGCACCGTATTTTTTCTTAGGTTTATTAAAATCGACTATATGTATATATATACTGCAAAACTGCATAATTATATAATAGATTATTGTTAAAGTCAAAAACACTAAGACTCGAAAACATCATCATAACAGCTACAGAATATAAACTTTTTAAAAAAAAATCTGACATCTGTTCAAAAAATAGTTTTGTAAGAAAATAATTAACGTTGCGGAAACTGACCAGCACTCTAATAAACTAATAGTGATCCTGGCAACTTAAACTACGAAAAAGTTTCACCAGAAAGACATGTAGGTAATATTAAAATTTAGTCACTAACATTTCGAGCTACTTTCATGATACATCAGTAACTTCATTATGTCACTGTTAATGTACTAATGAAATTACAAAATAACATCGCTCAGTATTTTTTTGAAGTTATTAATGTACACTTTGCATATAATTAGTGATAAAATTTATAACTAGTGGCATTATTATATGGTATATTAAAATGTGCCTAATGGAAAGCTAAGTACCACCTAAAAGTTACAAAAAAAATAAAATATAATCAAAATCACAAAAAATATAAAAATAGAAAATTGTAGTTTCTCTAGTGTTAGCTTAGCCGTTAGTACCTTAAATTAGCTTATGTGAAATAGGTACGTACGCAATTTAAAATAAGAAAGTACATATGGTAATAGCAACAGAATTTCCTATTAGAGAAGGATTTCATTGCAATTAAATGTTTTTTAAATCTACTTTTCTCTTGAATCTACAATACAACGATATTTTTACTTGCGTTTACAAAAGTTATAAAATTACCTCTAGGTAAGTACACGATTTTTTAATTCTACTCTTAACTGCTGTTTTCTTTAAATTAACTTTATACGCATTTCAATTTAGTCAACTACTACGTACTTTCCACGGAATTAGGTATATAATTTTCTCTACATTATTGAAATCTACATAAGAAAAAATTAATTATAAATACATTCCATTTACAAGATAATCCGCATCATGCGCGTATCCTTTTCCACCTTTTCTTATTCTTCGACGCACGACTCTTAATCTACATGCAATTAAAACAGCCATTACACATGTAATGATCAAACCTGAAAACATGAACAAAATCAGTAACATTATTACATCAGAAATCCTTTATAAAATTATTTCTTATTGTTTTCAAAATAATTTTGTTATATTATTCGAAACAGGAAACTATTAGCGAAGAAAAGGCCTTGAAATTTCAATTTTCTATGAATCGCCACATAAACAATCTGAATAATACAATAAATACAAATGTATATTTAAAAAATGAACACAAACAAACCTAATGTTAGAGAAAGTGCTGCTCCACTCGGAGTTTGAGCAATTCCATCTTCAAGTTCATCTGAATCAGAATCCTTCATTATGTACTTTGCAGTTTCGACGAAATCTTTGTCTGATTTGTAAGGATGCTCAACTTCGGTAACTGAAACTTTCTCTTTCGTAACTTCTTTTGGTTTATCATCAATCTTCATAAAATGTTTAGAGTTTTTGAGATCGTGGGCTAACTTTTCAGATTCTTGTGGCTCATCAGCTTACAAAAAATAATTAACAAATTTACTACAGTGTAGTAATATTAGCATTAGAATAAATATATAAATTTTATATCTATGAACGATGAAGCCTATTCGTTTATTTATTTTACTATTTTATTAACGTTTGAAAATAAAAACGACATGTAAAGGGCGATAACAACAATTTAGTAAACTGATCAGGGACATGTTGTTATCATGATCAGTAGAAGCAGAAGTTAAGATAGAAGTCGAAAAAGAAGTTTGCACAAATGTTATCATAAATTCGGAAATTGTAGCCGTAATAGCTCTTAATAAAACTCCCTAATAAGCCGTCAGATAAGTAACAGGTGTGTGGTAGCATTTTACTATCAATAGATATTTACTGCAAACTGCATCATTATTTTGCACTGTTTGACAAGACCTTACAAAGACATCCACTTGCAAACGTGACAGAATAAGATGAGGAAATGTGCCATCTAGTGGCATTCTTTACACTGCATCGTTGCAAGATAGTTTTTACTGAACCGTTTCCCTGCAATAAGCAACACCAACACTTATCAGAGCCTGCATACGCAAGGAATAGTTCATTACGGATTTATCCTAAGGGAACAAACAGTCAACAAGGAATTTTTTGCAGAGATTAAGACACGTAGTAATAAGGAAGCGGCTTGAACATGGTGTAAGTAGAGTTGGACGATGCACTACGACAACGTGCAGGTTCACACTTCTCTGCTTATGAGCAAATCTTTGACCAAAACTAAGATGATGGTGTTCCCTTAGTCACCCTGGTGCAGACTCTTTCTTCTTCTTTTCAAAATTGAAATCGACTTTGAAAGAAGGCCGATTTAACTCATCGTTAATCGATGACATTATAACAAATTGTACTAAGGACTTAAAAGAGTATTACAAAAGAAGCGTTCCAAAAAGTTTCCAAAAGAAACGTTGCGAGAAGTGTGTCGCCAGTCAAGGGGAGTACTTCGAAGGGCTCAAATAAGAGTAAGATGTACACTTATTCAAATAAAATTTTTATTCTAATCGTAGTTTCTTTTGAGAATGCGTTGTGTAAACTGCATAGTAGATTCAGTTTGGCAAGTAGATGCCTTTCTGAGATCTTTCTAAACACTATGGTAATATATGGAAACTACCAATCCATTAATAAGTTTGAAACCTCAATGGCGCTTTCGGTAAATTTCTGAAAAAAATATTGATAAAAAGTTAAGATTTAAAACACAATAACATAATGTCTATGACAGTTAGGATGGTGAAGAGGATATTCAATAACCCCAACGAAAGAATACGAAGAAGAAACCATTCAAAACTACAGAATTGAAATAAAGAAACTATAAGTTAGAAAAGAGAAAAGAAATTATAGGAGAGTATTTTTAGCGTTGTTTGAAACCCTTAAGAACTTTGATTTTCGGGTGCTCAGAGAAATAATTCCAAATTACATCTAATTATCCAATTATACATAACCGTAGTAATATCCACTTCTCGATCATTTTAGCTTATAAATTATTGAAATATTGTATAGGTGCATGCATCACAATACTAAAAAGAACCTTACTGTAAGATAAAAGGTGACTGGTCTAATATTAGAACAGTTAACACGACATATAGAAAAGAGAAATGAAATTAATCTGCCAATTCTATCGGTAGTGATGGGTAGAGCTATCTTGTAGTTGCTCGTTTGACCGCAATAGACCGCTCGTGCCTAGTGTAAATTTTTCTCTATTTTTTCCGAAAACATGGGTTTCTATTCCAAATATTGTGATTTAACGCTGCGAGATAAATATGTGATTTTTTATATGGTAACAGATAAAGGTTTATACTTACTCGGTACGCTTTCGATTTTTAATAATTTGGTCATTAATAATTTTTATAAGTAAAATTAAAAAATAGCCTTCGACAGGCTTTAGAACAAAGCTATATCTACTACAAAATTTCAAACCTCTATTCCAAATATTAAACTCATGATATCTAGAACCGATAAGCATGTTTTTACTGTACGGCGCGTGTACCATATATATAATACTCCTATATTGCTAGTTCCCGTAAGTGGAAGTGTCATGCAGCAAGTGAGACAACAAACGACTACTTCTGTCACTTTTTAGGTTACTCGACCCGTTGTGCGCAAGCGTCACGAGTCTTTTGGGTAAATGATGAACGCTTATAGGCATGTTCAATTGTCGAGCATGCGCGTAATACTCGAAGTAGTTACGAGAGAGACAGACGCATATATGTCTGCACCGTTGGGTCGGAATTTTTTTCTAGTCCCCTACTAGCAATATAGGAGTATTACATATATGGCGTGTATTACTGAATCCCCTTAACAAAGAACGGTAAAGCAAAATCAATAATAACGTTTTCTCGTAGGTAAGCTTAAACAGGCGACAATAAAGAAAATAGGTTTAGTTTCTGTGAAGGGTTGCCTTGTCTTTACGTTTAACTCAGCAGATGGCATATTCTCTGCTTTCTGTACTATGCTCAGCGGTTGAATGAACCACATGACAGCACTATTCAGAAACTCAACCTGTTTTAAATAGTAAAAACATTTCTTCATACCATGATCCCTTTGTGGGGATGAAATTAACGGGTGATCTTGCGATGATTGAATTCTGTGATTATCTGCAAAAAAATACACTTTATTTAACAAAATTGTAATGAATGAATTTTGAGTGAGTTAAAAAAAGTATGAATTTTAACAAGTTCACCGTTTTCGAGATAAATGTATTTGATGGTACAGACCATGGTCAGTCCGGCTCTGGTAGGATCATTCAGGGAAATATGACATTGCAACACCTCATTCAATCAGCTTATGTTTACAGCCAACCTATAGTATTTCTTTGCTCTTTTAAAGTTGTATTATGTACAAATGTTGACAGACAGTTGAAGTCATTAGAAGTAGGTCAATGTGTCAGTGTCATAGGTTAGTGCAAAATAGTATAAAAGATGCGTAAAATACCAACAACAAACCTATCGATTTATACGCTCGAGGAGCGCGCTTTACTGAAAATTTTATCCGATTTTATCAAACGGTTTAAAAGATAGTAACGATTCAAAACGGAAATAATTCGTTTTCAGAATTGCAGTCGTCTCTATCTATCTCCTCTCAGAATATATCCTGGAACTAACTGAATATCATAATGCAAACTGCATCATTATTTTGCACTGTTTGACAAGACCTTACAAAGACATCCACTTGCAAACGTGACAGAATAAAATGAGGAAATGTGCCATCTAGTGGCATTCTTTACACTGCATCGTTGCAAGATAGTTTTTACTGAACCGTTTCCCTGCAATAAGCAACACCAACACTTATCAGAGCCTGCATACGCAAGGAATAGTTCATTACGGATTTATCCTAAGGGAACAAACAGTCAACAAGGAATTTTTTGCAGAGATTAAGACACGTAGTAATAAGGAAGCGGCTTGAACATGGTGTAAGTAGAGTTGGACGATGCACTACGACAACGTGCAGGTTCACACTTCTCTGCTTATGAGCAAATCTTTGACCAAAACTAAGATGATGGTGTTCCCTTAGTCACCCTGGTGCAGACTCTTTCTTCTTCTTTTCAAAATTGAAATCGACTTTGAAAGAAGGCCGATTTAACTCATCGTTAATCGATGACATTATAACAAATTGTACTAAGGACTTAAAAGAGTATTACAAAAGAAGCGTTCCAAAAAGTTTCCAAAAGAAACGTTGCGAGAAGTGTGTCGCCAGTCAAGGGGAGTACTTCGAAGGGCTCAAATAAGAGTAAGATGTACACTTATTCAAATAAAATTTTTATTCTAATCGTAGTTTTTTTTGAGAATGCGTTGTGTAAACTGCATAGTAGATTCAGTTTGGCAAGTAGATGCCTTTCTGAGATCTTTCTAAACACTATGGTAATATATGGAAACTACCAATCCANAACAAAAACAATGATCATCATATTTTGTCCTTATTACTGGCTCAAACAGTTCCAGGCTCTTTATACATTTTCTCTGTGGTTTGAAATTTTTCTTCTTTAATACTTGTGTACTTATGTACCTAATATCGCAGTAACTGCCATTTTTTAAAACTCATATGGTTATTTATTTGCTATTACAACAATTACAAAATTTATTATATGTCTCTCCAAACGGCTTAAACGACTTTACAGACATGAAGAGGAGGTTTTCAGTAGTAACCTATGTTACTTTTATAAATTATTTATCGATTATAATAACTGTATCTATTATAAACAATTAGAAATAGTTTATACCCATGTTTCATACGGGCGAACTTGTAAGCAAAAACTAGTGTAATCTAGTAATTAAAATAATAACAAATCGTTGTATGTTTGAATGTTCACCGTTTTCAAAGAAAACGTGATTACGTGATTGAAAGTACAGGCGTATATAATTCCGGTCCTGGTAAAGAAGAAGAAATTAGACAATGCACCGCAGCATTCAATCAACTGGTAATTAGCTGGATCTGTTTTGTATTTCTTTTGTATTTTTTTGTTCATGAATTGTTTGTTGTTTATGTTACAGTTATCCTGTGGTAGTTATTTCTTCTTTTGATGTTTATACATTGTATTTAGTCAATCTGTGTACAATTCAATAAACGAATTCAGCAATACATCAGTCATTGGAGTAGGTCACTGCAGAACAATTGTCGTTTTAGTGATGTACCGCCGCTGTAGAGGACAAAAACTGATTTCATATAATATAATCCCCAAAATAGTACAGGCAAAATAGCAGAGTACGTTGACTTGAAACTGATTTTCAGCCGCGATTGGATTTGTGTCGTAATTTCTACAGAAATGTGCTGCAGAGCCTAATTTTTCCAAGTGGTGTTATTTACAGACAAAAGTCACTTCACGTGGGATGGAATTTTGAATTTATCGCAATAGGCACTACTGGTTTGAAGCAAATTCGCATGTCATGCGTCCTTCGCGATTTTAACAACGGTTTTCGTTAAATGTGTGATGTGGAATTTTTGAAGGTTAGTTGTTGAGACCATTTGTTCATCTTTGCGTTTAAATGGCAGGACTTATTTGACTTTTTACATGAGACTCCGAATATACTTGAGGATGTACTGCTGCAACTGCCAGGACGTTATATTTAAGTGAGTTGGTGTTTTGTACGTAAGGGCGTTGCACCTTGGCCGCGGCATACTCCCAATCTAAATCACTTGAACTTCTTTGTATGGGGTTGAATGAGACAGCGCGAGTACCGAACCCCAGTGCACAACCCTAATGATCTGCACGACCGCGTTATAATCGCTGCAAATGAAATACGTCAAATGCGGGACGTCTTGAAAATTCTCTTCTGGTACGGGGTACTAATTTCGGATAATTTTTGTAGTGAACATATGTGCGTAGATATTTTTAGTTTTATTGTTTCTAGTAACTTCTCGATAAATAAAGGGTAAGTTGACTTAGAAGCAAAAATCAGTAAATAATTAATGTTTGTGGTGGGATGACAGCGCTATTGGTGAATCACCCACGGTGCAATACCTCAATGGTGGTGTGAAAATTTACCTTAATATAATTATCTTTCTTTTGTGTTCGTAATACATGTTGAAATGTAATTTACATTGCACTGCATACTATCAGCGATGAACAGATGTATTATTTGAATTCATTTTAATCAAAATAACCGTCTAAACATTATGTGCAGTAGTAAGTTGTTTAAATTTATCTTAGTCATCTCACTATTTGTCGCAATTTTATAGTTCACTATTCGATGCACACCTATTTTTCCAATACACGAGCAGGGTTCTGGCTTCGGATCGTAAATTATTCTGGCTTTCTAACATGCTTCTATTAGCTTAACCTGTATGTATGTATGTCGGTAGCGGAATCTTTCAACGCAATTTTCACACACTTTAATACGTCCAAATGATTTGAAAAATTGTACACATATTAAAGACCGATGACAATACAAAAATTTAACTGTCCCCTCACCTGCTGACCCTCTTTTCTAAGTGTGTTTTTATGCGGTAAAGCTGAGGTCGTGTTGCGAGTGAGGCCGAAGCCCAAACTCCGCGTAGGAGCGAAATTCTGAAGTGCCTCCCTAATTGACCTCCACTGCATAACCCTACTCCTACCCCAAATGTGTATGTGCTTCGATTGGGATAAAAATCTATATCTGGCCTCGGCAGAGTAACCGAGCGGCATGGCCTACAGGTTTAGACCATTGCTTAGCATTCGGGAGGACGCCGGTTCGATTGCGGGTCCGTCTGCCTTGGTCTAAGTTTTTCTGTGGTTTCCTTGGATCACTTAGGCAAATGCTGAGGCAGTAATATTCCACAGATAATCTTTCATTCTCTTCTGTCTTCATTTCGTCCGTCTCATCTTTCTCACCCGAACCACCACCCACCCATTCCCATGATTCCTGAAAGCAGCCTGAAGAAGGCCTTCCGCCCTACCTTCCGGCATAG